AGACTTAAGCAAAATTCCTCAATGTATAATTTTTGTGCATCAAACTATTAAATCTACGTCAGATTAAAAAGATCAGTCAATACTCACATTTAAATTTTGAAATGATGCAAATTTTAATCTGATGAATGATATAATCAAGCACGACTCAACTATCTGATACGAAAGACACAGCGTGTAGGGGAATTTGTCCGCACATATCATTATCAATGCACTTCTTATTGCTCATTAAACTTACAATAAGCATTTGGATTATTAAGAATGAAATGAAATTATAAAGTAAAATTTGACAAGAAAAAAATTTTGTTAGAGCACAAAAGTTAGTTTGTTATGTAAGTTTTTGAGATATGAACAATTTTAAGAACGAACAATTTTTTTTACATTATTCCTGATCATGTTACATTACGCTTGATCACAATTTAATCATTGGTTAATTATCACATGTGTGGACAAGTCCTCCTGTATCCTAATACTGTTATTAGATGCATTCAGATGCATATTTATGCAAACCATCTTTTGAATTATCAAACTCCCTAAACTGGTAAATCTAGGTAAGAATACAATTTCTTTTAAAATTATATTTCAATTGCAGTGTAATAGATAATTCAGACATTAAATTTATTACAATATTACTGCATGTTTTTTGAATCGATTTATTGTAATATTTCATTGTCCTTATTAAATTTATAAATTAAGTAAAACGTGATCGATAATACTCTAGTATTGCAGTCGTATACCCAGCATCCCCATTGATTTAGTTACTAATATAAAAATTAATAATCAATACATTTAAAATAAACTATTCGAGTTTATAGTATTTACACAATGTATTTCATTTTTAAGTTTACATATTCGTGTAAATTTATAATAAGCTATTTAAGTTTGTAGTATATAATATCTTTTGTTTATTCACATAAATATAGCGGGCGAGTATGAAGGTCAACAAATCAATATATTTGTTAACTTATTTAAACTCATGAATCATACGTAGTTTAGATAGATAAAAAAAATCCGAGAAAGAATAAAATCAACGCAGATGAGTATCCAAAAATAAAAAAAAATAAAATATAAAATATAAACAATCGACGATAACATTTTACCGAAACATGTATAAAAGTGTATGATATAAAATATGACATGTTTTTGTCTATTGAAGTAAGTCTTTATGATTATAAATTTCTTGAATAATATTTCTACGATCTTCGGGAATAGAAATATCAGTTCTTTGGCTAAGAATATATATTGTTCTGTTTAAGCCATTACATCTTTGATGTAAATCACTCATCTGTTGGGGGCTACTTTTCGTAATGTATATACCCCAAACTTCTAGTAGCATATGAGCAGAAATTCCCCTCTCGAAATCTATCAGATAGTTTTCTTGCTGATCATACAATTCAGTGTTTTTATAACGAACCACAAATTTAAAATTTTTATCAACAAAATCAAATCCGCAGTAATCAAAAACAGAAGATTTATAAAAATGTTAAATTTTTATAAGTTTGATGATTTCTAAAGCTTCAATAAATTTATTTTCTTTGGACCTCTCTCTCTCACTCTCACTCTCACTCTCTCTCGGTCCTTGTTTGATATGTCTAGGATCTGATTCATAAAACTGATAATTCTGATCTGCATCATTATCACCAAAACTTTTAATTCTATCAATGACTTCATTGTCATTGTAAATAATATTTTGATCAATGTTTTGATTAAGAAAACTATTTTTTAAATCATCAGCTACGTCAACTCTTTTTATAACAAAAAGACGCTTGTAAAAATTGTCAATACCATGAATTTCATCCAAAAAACTGTTGAATGTATCGTAAGACTTTACTAAAAAAGAGGAATTAGATTGACAGGCGGTGACTTGTAATAAAAAAAAAGAATTCTTGTAACTACAGTATATATCAAGCTTCTTATTACCATTAGTATTGATGATACAAGGAAACTTATCAAAAGAAAAAGAAAAAATTTTACTCTGTTTAAATCTTTCAATTAAATCAGACTCGTAAATCAATCTCATACTGTGATAGTTTTTAAAATTTAAAATGTTATGTACGATTTAATATATATTTTCAATAAGAATTATAAATCAAAATGTTGAAATTCATTACAGTGAACTAGGGATGAGCAAGCCAAATATCTTTTAAATTTAATGTAAATTAAAGATAGGCACTATGCAGCATGTGCTTAATTGTTACATGATTAAAATTATGAAAATCACATCGGACGTTAATTTTTACATAAATTATAATATGTGATGATTAAGCGCCATAAAGCATAGTGCCCATCTCTAATGTAAATCAGGAAAGATTCCGGCGCAGTTTTTTAGTAACAGAAATTTTCCATTACGCACTTATATCTCTGGCTATGGATTCAAAATTCCTGTTGATAAAAAATCTGCCAGGATTTTGTGCACTACTGCGCATCCTTATCTATCTATCTATCATCTAATTCAGAGTTCATTCATTTAAACGTGTTTGATTTGTATGCATTTTTGTATAATTTGTATTCATGCTGCTATGTCATAGATTTAGCATTAAATATTCACGTTAAATCATCTGTATGATTATTAAGGTGCGCACGTATGTACCGGAATTTATTAGTTACAGTATAACGATCATTTTTCTTACAAGTTTTTATAACTGCAATTTCTCAACAACCCACTTATCAAATTGGGTCAAATTTTTTTTATTTAATAGTTATGTAAACAAACTTTTATTTACAACAATTAATATTGTGTAGGGTAACTATTAGCTTCGATTACAGCATGATCATGATGAGGTATACTTTCAACAAGAGTTTTAAAAACCAAATCACCTAAATTAAACCATTTATCTTGAAGCAAACAGAGTAATTTTGACTTACTGCTTGGCAGAGGAATATGCTTATGGACACAATGCTCTAATTCATCCCAAATATGTTTAATAGGGTTGAGATCTGGGCTGTACAAAGGCCAGGAAAGTATGTCAACACAATTTTCTTCAATCCAATTTTTGGTCAATGTTGCAGTATGAATTTTGCATTGTCATCTTGGAAAAGATTTTTTTTTTCCAACAACATTTTTTAGACCTTCTAAATAAGATAACAAACAATTATGGAGGACCCCGGTATAGTCCTTTGAATTTATTTTACCAAAAACCTGAACCAACGGTCTAGAACCATATATACTAAAACAATCTCAGATCATTATACTCCTTCTTCTCAATTTAAATGTCAGAACCAAACAATTTATATCATACTTTTCTTTTGGTTCTCTCCAAACATACATGTAACTATCTTTTTCAAATACTTCAAACCATGATTTATTGTTCTAGATAATATTTTTCTACTTTTATTCTAATATTCTTTGTATTTAGCCCACTCTAACTAACCCATACAAGAGGGTTTATCCACAAATGGTTTTCTTTTTTCAACTTGATTAAAAAACTTTCTTTATAAAAGCAACATTAGACAGTATGTATAAACACTTCAACAAATATTGATTAAATAAATTTATTGGTCAATCAATTTAAACTAGCTTTTTTATCTTGTTTTAAAAAATATACAAGGTAATAGATTTTATATTCAGTTATTTTAGAAATACCTCAGGATGAGAAAAAGGTTTAACATCTCTGGTCTTTTTGTAATAATTAACAATATCATAGACAGTGCTCTTGAGAAATTTCAAGAACTTTACAATTTTTGCTGGCTTTATACTACTGCACCAAGCACTAACAATTTGGTTATATTGCTTTTCGGTAAGTTTTTTTCTTTGTCCCATAATAAAAAAAAAATATGAAAAAAAATATAGTTAAAACTGACAACTTTTGGTGAAATAGTAAAAAAAACATTGTTGTTTTTTGTTAGAATTTGGTTGCACAAAAAATTTTTTTTACAGTAAATTATTGCTATTAATCATATATAATTTTTAAAATTTTAGTGATCATTATCAGAAAAGTGTAAATATATATAGTAGTAATTGTAATAACATGATTATTTTCTGTGAATATCATAAAAATTGATTATATATAGTATATTCAAAGTTGTTGCTTATCTACATACATGATTGTTTAAATAAATATCATTTGTATAAAATTTTTATCAAATGATTGACATACCCAAATTTTAAGTAAAATTTAAATAAAATTTGCCTTTTAGACTTATTTAAAAATAAGAAAACTGTTGGTTTAATTTCTATATATCATTTTGCAAATTCTCTGATATTGAAAATTCTTTTTATAATCTTTCAAGGGTGATTAAAATAAAATTTAAAAGAATCTTGATTATGAAGTTAGCTAATTTTTTTACAATGTTTATAATTTATTTATAAATAATACATATTGTTTATTCCAAAATATTCAAATAGATAATAATAAATATTCAATTACTATACAGCACTGACTTAAGTACCCAGGATCTTTTACAAACATACGGTTATGATAGGTATTTTATACAAGAGAATACTTTGGTCCATGCACTATGCACCTGTATAAAAATTTTACATTGTTTAGAATACCATCTAATCAAAAATATAGCAATCGTAATTAACAAATATCAATAATAAATATTTAATTAGTTTTTTTTTAAGCTACCAAATTATGGATAAAAAATATTTTTGTTCCATTATTTAGTTATTCTGTTATAAGTAACAGTGCGCAAAACAACAATTTAGGTCAAGACAAATATTTCAAATCATTAAAAAAAAAATTTGTGTTTTTTTATTTTTGTCTTTTTTTCCAATCACCTAATTATAATAATAAATGTTCTCAATAACAGTGTGCAAGGCACAAGTTAGGCTAAAGACAAATATTTTAGATTATAACATTTGTAATTAACATTCTTTTGTTTTATTATTTTATAATTATAACAGTGTGCATAGTAACAAATATTTTAATAAAGCGATTTTTTAATAATTGAATAAAGTTACAAATAAATATTTAATATTCGCAAGTACTTTAATGATAATATGATTCGTAAAAATATTTAAAAAAGTTGCTTTAATAATTTAGTTCTGTAAATAAAAAATGGTTCGTGCAAATCAATCAGCATGTTGTTTACGTTTTATATATCATATTTGTCATCAATAGTTTGCAAAGGAAAAACTTATAGTCATTCATTATCTTGAGCAATCTAAAAGTATATGTGGTATAGCAAGAAAGTTTAATATTCAACCTAAACAAGTTCATAAATAGAGAAAAATTAAAAATCAACTAATAATAGCTGATCTATATATTGAAAAATTATATCCTAGAAAAAAAGCCAATTTTCCTGAGCTCGAAGAAGATTTGGCAGCTTGGATAAAAGAAACTCGAGACCAACGTAATGCAGTAACCTGTATGATGGTTATTCAAAAGGCAAAAAGTTTTGCTCAACAACCTAGATTCCAAATTTTGTATCCTAATATAAACCAGTTTGGTTTTTCTCGTAAATGTCTTGATGCATTTATGTCTCATTATGATCTTTCAAACAGGCGCAGAACTAATATTGCTCAATATCTTCCTGCGGATCTAATTGAAAAACAGCAATGATTCTTAAGTTACGTTGCACTTAAACAATATGAAAATAATTACCCATTAAGATTAATCAGTAATATGGACGAGACGCCCGTTACTTTTGACTTGCCAAATGCTGTTACTCTAGATGAATGTGGTGCTAAAACTATTAGTATAAGAACTACTGGGCATGAAAAATCAAATTTTACCGTGATCTTAGGTTGCTTAGCAGATGGTACAAAATTGCTAGCAGCTTGTATATTTAAATTAAAAAATATGCCCTGTCAACAATTTCCTCCAGGCATTTATATTCGTGTAAATGAGAAAGGCTGGTACAATGAACAAGAAATGATTTGGTGAACAAACAACGTATGGCTTGCTCAAAATATGTATAGACGCGAACGTTCACTCTTAGTATTAGATTCTTTCAGAGGTCATATTACCGAACTAGTTAAAAAAAATTTTAGTAAAAATATAACTGATATGGCAGTGATACCTGGTGGTTTAACAAGTAAACTTCGACCATTAGATGTTATATAAACCATTCCTTTAAAGCAAAGCTTCGTAATCTGTATCTTGAATAGATAGCTAATGAAGTACATGAGCTTACACCTTCTGGAAGAATTAAACAACCATCTTATTCTTTAATGGCAACGTGGGTAAGAAATGCGTAAGATGATGTTGATATTGATTTAATTAAAAACTCGTTTAGCTGTTTGGAATTTCTAGTGATCAAGATGTTAATATAGATCAGCAATATAAAATGGAAACTGAAGATTATATCGATGAATTGGCAAATAATATTGAATTAATAGATCTTACTAACGAAAAACCTGTTTGGGTTGAAACGGAAGATATTGATAAGGCCACGCAAAGTTAATTTTTCGTTTTGCATAACATGGAATCTAAAAATTTGGGTCGGCGGGCGGGTTTTTT